CTATATCCATGTGTTAGTTGGCTGTGGTGGCCATCTTGAATTGGGATGGCACCAAAAATTAATTAGTTGTTGAAGATGATGATTATTTCCTGAAAGTCTAATTAAAATATATTCAGTGGTTCAAGAGACAGTCTGCTGACAGAGTTAACTAAATAATATACATTTTTTAAATCTTGTACAGTTTGTTAACGCTAAACTGCACCAAATATTAGGTCAATATTTGTAAAATGGACTGAATTGTGTCTTTTTTGTGCTTTTTTAAGGTCAGCTGATTGTGGCTAACCCTAAAAATAATGTAATGCCCGATCTCATACTAGATGTCACACTTCCAGTGAGTGTTGAGCATGACTAGCTACTACCACACCAAATGTTATTACTTTATCTGTAAAACTGACCACGTTGTAGCCATTTTGGTGTTAGTTCATGTCGATTAGCTGTGGCGGCCATGTTGACTCCAAAAGTTAAGCAGTTGTAGAAGTATATCAAATGATTACTTTCTGCAAGTTTCAGTACAATTTGTTCAGTAGTTTATGAGATATTTGGGTAAAAGCCACACAAACACACACAGGCACGGCCTTCGCCTTTCAGCTGAATGCAATGAAAGCGTCTTTCCTGGATCATGGAGAGCTCAGCCTCACTGCAGCTCTAAATGCTGCCTTGCATCTGTCTCGGCGCAGGACAATAATATAAGACAAAAGTGAAGAAGGATGACTCTTAGAGCCTCAAGTGCAGTACAGTACAGTCACAGTAATTTGTGCTCCGTCATGTTGGTGCACATGGGAAGACGTGAAAAGACTTACTGTGTGCTGAATAAGACCCAAACACAGTCTCAGAGGCAGGCGGATAAAAAAAATAAAATCAACCTGTAAGCTGTTATAAATGAGAGCAGCAAGGTACTGCAGTGTAAGAAATCTAAAACCAAACGCAACGTGTGAAAGGAGCTAAAACGAACAGAATGATGATGAAGCTGTGCAAATCTTAGATCTAAGATGGGGAACAAGGTGGAAAACGTATGAGCCAGGGGACCAATGATTAAAGCAATACAGATGTGCTGATTAGAAACTAGGACCAGGTGAGTGAGGAATGTTTTGTAAATGACTCTCAACTACTGCCACATCAGTTTTTGGTTTGTTATCTGCAGTGGTGGGATGTGAAGAAGTGCAAGTACTTTGTTACTTTGCTTAAGTACATTTTTCATGTATTGATACTTTACTTTGTTAAATGTGGTTACTTATGACTTTTACTCCACTGCATTTTACATTAAGTATTTTCTACTACACTACATTTCTATAATGTATTGTGTTAAATGTTACATTTACGTTACATTTTTTTTATTTGTTTGTTAGTTTGAGGGGAGCTGGTCCATTGAATCACTGCAAAATGGGCAGGTAATGTTAGACCCGCCTTCAAGAAAAGCTGGATCAATGATGTATATTCTACTTTGTAGTATATACGTCATTGAGCTGGGAGCACCCACAGCACCACTAACACACCCAAAATGGATTTCACCCTGGAGAGTCAGCCAGAAGATAAGTACTTTGTACCACCATGGCCTCATTGAAAGACTATTCAGTACAGCAGGACTTTTTTCCCTCCTAAAGAGACAGACTGGACTCAAAAACTTTGAAAACCAACTTCTTCTGAAGTGGAACAAGAAATTCTTGCTGCAATATTAAAATGTGTCACTTCATGGGATGTTAGGAGACAAGAGTCTCCAAACGTCTCGACACTCAGGTCCAAGTTTTGAAAATGGTGTCAGGAAGTTAAAATATTGTTCACTATTGACCCATTACAAGGTTGAATAGACAGTATTTTAACTAGTTGATGACAAACTGGAGATGAAATGATCAGAGCCTGTTCCTTTGTTAGGTCTAATGCGCCTTTTTCAGGCAGACAACTTTTACTTACATGCAGCTAAATGGACACATTGGTTTTACTTTGTGTTAAATAAAAACTTTCAAAGGTATAATCATTCCTCTTTCTTGTTTTGTTTAATGTCATTTAACTCTGCAGGTCACCCCTGAAATTCTGACGCACAGAATCACAAGTCCAAGTGTGAACTGTGTCACAGAGTAAACACAATAAAAACATGTATTATCTGCAGCATCATTCATTAAAATGACTCAACACTATTAATGTATTACAGAAAATATACATATGGTAGGCACACTTAATGATATTGTAGACCATTGGATTCGGTAATACATTCAGCAAGTACTTTTACTTTTAATACTTTAAGTATTTTTAAACGCAAGTACTCATTTACTTTTACTTAAGTAAAAATTTTCTCCTCCACTGGTTACCTGTTAAACTGATTTACCGGTAGTTACAGCTGTGTTTATGCAGGCTAACCTTGATTGGCGGTGGTAGCCATCTTGAATTGGACTTACTCCCTCCCTCTCTGTTTCATTAAAATCTAAGATCTGTGGAGCTGAAAGGCAGACACAAGAAAAGACAAAATCAGAAGACATGTTTTTATATTGCACAACAGAAACGGTTTTAGAACAGAAACAGTGGCACGACCACTCACTTTCCTCAAGATTTGAAGCTGACGACAAGTGAATTGATTTTTTAAAAACTTTTCATGTTATCATTAGTCATCCCTTAGTGTTGCACTCCCGATCTTGCTAATAAAAGCCCTCTTCTCATCCTGCACGTCTCGGCTGCAGAAAAGCTTTTTCACTCTCCGTGTCGATCCTGGTTGCCGGTCTTCTCTAAGTCCTGCCACTTACCCTCCGGACATATTGTGGCTGCAGCGTCCCTCTGTGCAAAGTCTGGCAGAGACTCAAAGCGGCACACAGACATGCACACGCAGCAGATTTGCCATATTTTCTGTTGATGACTTTGCATTCCCCCCCCCCCCCCCCACACACACACTACTCTGAGATTGAATTACAGTGATGGTGTATCAAATGCACCGGGCACTGAGTGTTTCCCAGTGTAATCATTACCACTCTGCTCAGTCTGCTCTGGCTACAGCTTCTTACCCTCCATCATTTACTACTCTTTCACCCCCATCCTGAAACTGCTCTTCAGCACACAAATCCTCCTCTTCTCCAGAGTGAAGTGCGGATCTTGCAGGGAAGTATCTCCTGCTGCCATTCACGCCGGAGTCTTACATGAAGTTCATCTTTCAGTATGTTTAGAAATGATGAAGTCATTTTGATCAAATGTTGACAATCTCACTGGCAGAGGTGGAAAGAGTAAAAAAAAGTGAATTGAAAATCTGTACTCAACTACAAGTACTGCTACACTGCTTAAATTGTACTCAATTACAAGTAAAACTACTGGTGTTGTAAAAATACTTAAGTAAAAGTACAAAGTACTCTTCTCAAAAACTACTCAGAGTATTAATTACTTTTTAACCAATTGATGTTTTGTTGTGTTGTTAATAGAAGTCATTCAGTTTGATTTACTGTTTATAATAAATATAAATATAATAGCTACATCCAAAGCACAGACTCAGACGCTCAGAAGCTCCTTCTTATTTTAGTACCATTTAAGCCGATGACAGTGACAGTATCTAAGGTCTTTGCATACTTAGCTAAACTAATAACCCACACATACAAACAATAAAAAAGCAACATCATACAGGTAGCTGTAAAACCTCATATACCACAATATGTTTTTAGAGATTAGATGCTGAAGTCTTGTGAGCTGCTGTCACCGTAGAGATCAAACAAAGTTTACATCTGGACTCTGTCTCCTTTTCATCCTCTGTACATGAAACATTCCTCCAGGTTTGGCCACGGGCACTCGTCCTCAGCCTTTACCTCGTCATCTTCTCTGTTGACAGTGTTGTCCTCCGTCTCCATTTTGGCTTTTTCTCCAAATCTTGGGTCCATGAATGACTCTACGGAGTTGTCCTTTGTTCACGTCATACTTGTAGTTAATTTGCACGTTCATGATCTGAGAGTCTTATTGGCTACAAAGATGCAGATCAATGGTTTGAATATTAATTCAAATTGCGACTCAGTATCTGATTTTAAAAGTAGTGAAATAGATTACATGGTCTAAAATGTACTTAAGTATGAGTAAAATTACACACTTGAAATAAATACTCATAAATGTACAAGTACCGAAAATATCTACTTCATTACAGTAATGTGAGTATTTGTAATTCATTACTTCCACCCCTGCTCATGGGATATCACAAGATGTCATTCTGAGAGCAAGTTTCTCCAAAAAACATCTTTAAATATCCAACCCACTGTGATGCACGGATCATATGTGGACTCACATACTGCGAGCAGTTCTTATGTTGCTCATAGTGTTCATTAAATGTATCACGCCGCCATAATGTGCTCCGTTTTATCTCTACAGATGTACTGAAGCACGTGTCAGCTTTGGTCCTTGATTCCTAAAGCTCGGGGACGGTTGGTTTGCCTAGCATCGTTTTGTTTGCTGTATGCACGTCGTGTCTGTTCCTGTTAGAACAACTCCTACCTCGGCACGCGTCAGCATACTTTGAGCTTGTTAATTACAGACTAGTAAAAAAACAAGCCTGCAGATCCATATTTTCTCTCTGTTATTGTCTTATTCTGTTCAGTTTGTGTACATAATTTGTTCGCACAGGCTTGGCAGGATGAGATGGTACTGACTGGGCTGAATTTGGCTGAGAAAACCGTGCTTATGCTCCCACTGAAAGTGGCAATATTTTCTCATGCTTGATTTGCAAAATCACCGACACCAAGCAGACTTTTGTTTACGACAATAACGGTAGATTTTTTTTGCTGAGACCAGTAGTTTGTTTGGCTCATGATGTCCATCGGTGTGTGGCTGTTTTATTGAACTCCATCACTCTGGCATTTGGAGTTCACGATGTCAGTGACAATATCATTGTTGAAAATGTTCATATTTTATGAGAAGCCTGACCAAAACGACACGACTAACACTCCTGATGCAGATTTATCATCTTCATAGTAAAAACTTGCCCGGTTAGCCCGTTTGGATGCACAGCTAACGTCTGCTTTTGTGTTTTTCTGCCTGTCCACTTGCAGATTGCAGCTGTGCAACATGACAGACACGGTGTTGAGCGGTGGCTCGGATCGCTGGGTGTCCAACGACAGGCAGAGGAACATGCACCCGAGGTGAGGGGAGTTTTCCGAACAGATTTTGTCTCTGCACACCTTATGAATGGGAACTTCATAATTAACTGTGGCATGCTTCTTGTTTCCCTCACATTCGTTTCTGACATGTGACTTGTGACACAGCGATAAAGAGCAGTAAGTAAATAAACATCTGCATTGTGTGTTTCTTTTTTATCTTGATAGAAAATGAGACATAACATAGAAAATGTATAAAGCAAAGTGGGACAGCAACAGAGAGACACTGGACAAATAGTAACAAAGTAACAACAGACTCATTACAATGTCATGAAGATTGGTCCAAAAAGTCATAAATTAAGAAACTAAATGAGCACTTTTTTCACAATATATATAAAATTTGTAAGCAAAATTTCTGACCGAATGCCATGTGACGTTCATGAAAGGTCTGTTTGGAGTGTAGAAGTCCAGCAAATGTTAGTCAATCAAATGTTTTGGTTCATATTTAAGCCCAGACCTTTTGAATTAAAAAATGCAGATTAGTTTTCACAACGTTTTCTGAGGATTCATTCAGGGTTCAGGATTTTGGGGGCATCTGTGGCTGAGTGGTTAGAGCAGTCGTCCTCCAGTGGGAGAGTTGGGGGTTCGATTCCACCTGGAGTTACATGTTGAAGTGTCCCTGGACAAGACACTGAACCCCTTGTTGCCTCCGATGTGTGTCCCATCAGTGTATGAATGTGAAAAAGCTCAGATTAGTCTCTACAGATTCAGATTATCTTTGTACATATATAGTAGAGTGCTGTATGAATGTGTGTGTGGAGGTAAATGAGGCACAGATTGTGTTGTAAAGCACTTTGTGTTTCTTGATTAGCTATAAAGTGCTATATAAGTACAGTCCAGTTACCATTCATGAAATTACCGTGCTTTGTTTTAATTGAACCTGCATTTCAGATTTCAGAACTGCCTATTAGTATATCTGGAAAACTGAATTGTTTGATATCGTTCAGGATAACCATTTTTTATGTTTAATTTTATAGCTTACAATTAGTTCCTTAAGTAAAAAAATAAAATGAATAATAATAATAGTACTAATAATAAAATAAAGTAGATGTGCCTTGATGTCCCATTGATATTGGGTATCAATAATAAGACAGGAATAAAGAAATCATATCAATATATTGTTACTTTAAAAATATGACAAGTATTGAACATAATATATGAAAATGTGCAAACAACAATATTTGCAATGACGTAATTATATAAATAAATAAATGCATATATACAAGTAAAACAAACCAAAACAGAAATAGGTGAAGTCAAATGTGCAGATGCAGGAATAGTTTGAGAGAGATGATTACTGACAGGAGGGGTACTCTGGAGGTTTTGACATTTATATAAAGACATGAGCTTGCTGATGAAAACAAACTAACCAAGCAAGAAATATGGACTAAAACAATAAATCCATAGGAGCATTAAAAACATTAAATAGTGCTTGCCTATCAAAACAAGTGCTTTGACTGAGGGTTGAAGCAGAACGTTTTGATGCATATTTGATCAGCAGGTTTCTCCAAAGTGTAATATTTTAGTTTTATCATTTCAGTTTAGCATAATTATTTTCTTGCACATAACTAAGGACATATGGAGATTTCTTTGCAGACCTCTCTTGTGTTTTGTGTTTCTAATGTGATGACATGTTGAGTTGTTTCGTCAGCTCTGTTCCAACACTGAACTGTTTCTCTGCATGTACACGTGTTGAATTTTAAAACCTTCAACTGAAGACTGTTGTGTTTGGCTAACAGGGGGAACTGGACCTTGCAGCCTGGTCCTGGTCCTGGTCCAGACCTGACAGATGAAGAGAAGGAGATTATCAACAATGTGATAGCCCGTGCTGAGAAAATGGAGGCCATGGAGCAGGAGAGAATCGGGTGAGTCCTCGCTGGTGTAGGTTAAGATAAAAAAAAAAAAAAAGTGTCACATTGAGATTAATGAAATGCATAAATTCTGGATGTGGGATAATTAACAGTGACCTTTTCAGAAAGATTTTCCTCTGTGCTTCCGCAGGCGCCTGATAAACCGCCTGGACGATATTAAGAAGACGGTGTGTGGAGACGGAGTTTCCCGCTGTCTGCTGTGTGGGGAGCAGCTGGGCTCACCTGGGGTCAGCTCAGTGGTGTGTGAGGACTGCAAAAAGGTGAGCCAATTAGACCACCAGCACAAACATGACGCTCCCCTGCTGAAATCCTGCTAAAACCAAAGAAAAAAACACATACAATCTTTTCCTCTACGTATTATGCCTATTTAAAAAAAAAAATTACAGCAAAATGAGAAGAGGTTATCGTTATTTTGCCTTTTTTTGTGTGTAGCACATGTGCACTAAGTGTGGTACACAGTGTGGAAGTCGGCCTCGCGCCGTGTGGCTGTGCAAGATCTGCAGAGAACAGCGAGAGGTGAGAGCCTGAAACCAGAGCAATAACAGAAAACAAACAGAAAGTCATCGAGCGTATACATCACATCCGATCTTCTATAATTCTCAGGTGTGGAAGAGGTCCGGTGCCTGGTTCTTCAAAGGTTTTCCGAAGCACTTCCTGCCGTCACCCATGCCCTTATCTAAAGCAAAAGAGGCTGGCGCCCCGGAGGCAGCAGACTTGAAGAAACCGACAGCCTCTGAGCCCCGAGAGGCAGTGAACCAACCACAACAACCAGGTAGACACGGTCACCTCCAGGCTCTTCTCTTCTCGTCATGAAAATTTAAACAGAGCAACGTGCAGGTCTTTATCTGACAGATTGTTTTCAATGTTCATCTCTTAGGTGCAAATCAAGCTCTTGCCTCTGAACAGCCAGTTTCAGGCAAGTTTGCTTTTTTAAATAGGGTGCTAAAGGTCAGGATGATTTTATCTCTACAAGATTTCAATGTAAAATCAACAGCTCTCTCTCTTTACATTTGCATTGCTTTAGAAACTCATATCTCCTCCTGCCTGATATGGCTTCACTTTACCTTCTTTTTTAACAGCGTTGAAAAGTATTGCATTTACTGTTAGTAGTTTCCAGATCAGGATAAGTATGAAAAAAAAAATCATTTGGTGAGAGGTCTGGTTCAGCACATGGACTCTTCTACTGTGATGCCTTGTTGCAATGGATGCAGTATGAGGTTTACCAGAGTTTTCATGAATATGCAGGACCTTTCCTGAAAAAAAGTTAATATGAATCAATATATACATTGTTCTATAAACTCTATATACTTTTCTGCACTGACATTGCCTTACCAGATGTGTAAGCTGCCCATACCATAGGCACAAATGCATGCCCATACCATCAGAGAAGCAGTCTTCTGAGCTGTGCGTTGATAACAGGCTGGATGGGGCCTTTTCTTTTAATATGAAGGACATGGCATTTGTGGGTTTCAAAAATAATTTAAAAATTTGACTACTCTGACCACAGATCAGTTTTCTGCTGCCTCAGCTAATAATAATTGAGCTTTATCCCAGAGATGATGACAGCATTTTTGATCTGAACTGTGAATGAACTGTCAATGATGGGACGCTCAGTGTCGTCACACTTTTGAATTTAGCAAAACTGTTTTGAAATAGTTTTATTATTTTTGTAAGTAGTTTTTTTCCCAGAATGGTGAACCTCTGCCCATCTTTACTTCTAAGAGATGCAGCTTCTCACCCAGTCCTCTTAATGAACTGTTGCCAGTTAACCTAAATAATTACCAGTAATAAAAATGTTCCTTCAAAATGCTTCTTATTGTCTCAACCTTTTTGCTATCAAATTCAAAATGCACCCCCCCCCCCCCCCACACACACACACACACCAAAAAGGTACAATTTTAGTTTAGTTTAAATATTTGGTATATACTGTACCGTATATTTTGTTCTATTATAAATAAAATATGGGTTTTTAAGATATGTGTATCGTTGCATTTAGTCTTAGTACATTTTGCACAATGACCCACATTTTTCAGGGTTGTACTTTCAAACGCAGCTGCTTGGAAGAAACACATTTAAAAAAATGAGTAAGTTTAACAAAGAGTGTGCTTTGCAGGTTCAAATCAGTTACCATGCTGCATATTCTGTATACAGCTTGAGATTCTAAGATCACACTGTTGAGAAATGAGGGAATTACAGTAGTTTTGGTTAAATCTTGAAAAAAAAAGTATAAAACATGGAATAAAATATTTATTTATAATTAAACATAAATCAAAGGGATTTATTCAAGGTTTTCCTTTTTTATTTTACCTAAGACGCTGTAATTCATTGCTTGCACCTTTATATACATTGTAGTTTTTGTTGTGTTTAATCCTTGAAGAAGGAAATGGTGCCCAGTCTTTGTTTTTATTTGTTTATTCGTTCAGTATGGAAATTTGTTGACACCGGGGACTTAAGGTTCCATCACCGCTGCTGTCCAGGCTCATCTGCAGCAGCTCTTACTGGTTTTTATCAAACAATTCATTTAGGTTATACTTATTAGATATGATCTAGTCAGATTTCTGTAGCAAACATGGTCAAGTAAATAAATACATTTTTAAAAAGTACCAGTGGAGAAAAACATCCAAAAGCGTCACGTTCAGCTGCCGTCAGACTAATGGAAAAATGTCCACGTGTAGAACGGACTCTACTGTCACTTTCTATAGTCTTCTATTTTTAGCTGAAATGGGTCGTACACAAAAGCATGTTTCTCCTTTTGTCACAGCTACTCGTGCTATTGGCTGTTACCAACTTTAAATAGTCTCCTTACAATGTTAAGTTACAAAAGGCCAAGAAAATTGCTTTAAGCTTTCACCCAGGGAAGTGAAACGTGGACGTACGATCTGACACTTTTATTTATCACAAATAACAAAACTCCCAGAGCAGCCGTGATTCCTGACAGAATATTACATGGAAACAAACAAACAAAAAAAGCCCTACCAAAAATAACATGTCAATCAAGTCATCTTCGTCGGTACATTCAGAACTAAAAGTTTGTGCTGTGAATGAGTCTCAGCTACTACCACACCAAACATTAGCTCAATATCTGTGAAACTGACTGAATTATAAACATTTTTGAGTTTTTACTAAGCTGTGGCTGTCATCTTGAATTAGGTTAGCTCCAAGTTATTCAGTTGCAGATCCATCCATCCATTTTCTTTACCCGCTTATTCCATTTTGGGTCACGGGGGTCGCTGGTGCCCATGTCCAGCAATCACTGTGCGAGGGGCGGGGTACACCCTGGACGGGTCGCAAGTCCATCACAGGGCCACATAGAGACAAATGAGACAAACAACCATTCACTCTCTCACTCACACCTAGGGACAATTTAGAGTTACCAATCAGCCTAACATGCATGTTTTTGGACTGTGGGAGGAAACCGGAGTACCCGGAGAAAACCCACGCATGCACGGAGAGAACATGCAAACTCCACCCAGAAAGGCCCCTGGACTGGGGTTTGAACCAGGGACCTGCTCGCTGAGAGGCAGCAGCTCTACCAGTTGCGCCACCGTGCTGCCTCAGTTGCAGATATATCTTTTTTTTTTTTCTTGTTCTTCTTTGTCTTGTTCTGTTCTTGTTCTTCTTATTGCTTTTTTTTTCTTGTTGTTGTTGTTCTTGATCTACTTTTTGTTGTTGTTCTTGTTCTTCTTTTTCTTGTTTTCTTGTTGTTCTTGTTCTTCTTCTTGTTTTTGTTGTTGCTGTTCTTCTTTTGGAGGACCAAGATGGGGTAGAGGCAGGGCAGCTGACTAGGGAGCAGAAATTCACGGCTCAACTCCCCATCATTCCCACATGTCGTGATGTCTCTGAGCAAGGCACCTAATTCCTAATTGCACCCGGGGCACTTACACACCTGCCCATTGCTCCACCTGGATAAATCTCACGTGTAATGGGTTAAATGCAGAAAACTAATGTTGCCATTGTATGGGAACATACAGTACAATGACAACAATCTCAGACTTCCCCTTCCTTGAAAAAGACCAATATAAGTGTTAGCTACTACTGTATTTGTTTGTTGATTTGACCTTCTCTGTCCTGCACCCTCACCTCTCGTTGCTCTCCTCTCATCATTAAAACCTCTCAGCTGCTTCCCAGATTTGACAGTGCCTCCCCACTGTTGCAGGGGAGACGATGAGGTCCTCAATTAAACCAGGCAGAAGTTGCACGCTGAGACAAAAATGAGCCTCAAGTGGTGCTGGTTTGATAAATCAGACAGTTTAATTTCTCACTCTCTGTAGGATTACCTGTGCAACTTAATCTACCAGTGAACAGAAGAGGCACACTGTGTAGCTGTTGCAAGTTCAGGCGTTGGGCTGCCACTGCTGCTTATGTAGGTCAATGCCTTTCCAACTAAGAAATCTGCAACATCAGAAGTGTCCAGAAAGACCTGGCATTGTTACAGATCCCGCTGCAGTAGCAGCTTAAAGTGGAGTGATTGTGCACTTCTCTTGCTCGCCGTGTGCAAGTCACTGCGTTTAACCTATTCATGCTTGGTTGTTGTTACAGAGCCTCAGGGCCGCGCTGGTTACCCACCTGTGGCCCCCAAACCAGTTTTGCGCATGGCTACAGGCGGGGTTGGCCCCGAGGAGGCCGGTCAGGGAGCAGTGGTGATGAAGAAGATGGTGCCCGTACAGAGCAGCAGACAACAGCCTGCTGCTTCGGCCACCATGACCCAGCAGGGTGAGAAACAGCACAAACACATTTTCTTGGATTTCTTACAGACAGTGTTGATCAATACGGCAATATTCAGCAGCAGCAGCAGCAGCTCGTCATTTTATGCTGCTTCAGATGACTGAATCTGTTTGCAGGTCCTGTAGCAGGAGATAAAGGTGCTTACGCATCAGCTGCAGCTCCTCCAGAGCAGAGAGCACCTCCTGCAGTCAGAGAGGACAGGAGGCAGCACACCGCCTATAGCGCTCCTCCCCCCCGACAGCAACCTCCCCCAGCTGAGGAGGAGGACGACGCCAACGACTATGACTCTGATGAAGCCAGTGAGTTCCCAGTCTTGTGATAAGTCTAGTTTTATTTCATTCTGTCTATTCCCAGTTTCTTCAATCACTACAGGTAAAACCCAAGTCTAATTATTTTTTTATTATAATCTCTCACTATGGATTAAAAGATATTAGTTGAAAATGTGATTTAAAACCATCTTATTGATTAATTTCTGCATTTGAATGCTTTTAAAAGAGTGTTAATGTTTTGATATATGATTGACTAAAATGGCACAACTGGTGGTGTATAGTGCAATAAACAGAAAAACAAATGCACTCAATAGTCAATAAGTAGTTTTTGTGTAGTGAAAGTGGATATATATTTAATCAATAATATGGAAACCCATATCAGAGAACTTAATAATCAATCATACATAAGTCTTTCAAAAGCTGCTCTAACATTTTAGTTTAATGATGAGAAAGCGTACCAGACTATCCATATTTTTATCCCATAGGGACAAATTGACTTTATTCTAAAGTGGGTTGAATATTAATTTTAGGTTCAGGTTGTTAGAGCTGTGCAAATTATTTGAGATGTAACAGGACCAACAAGTTATAAACTCCCTGTGGATTTAATCCCTGGTGCAAAGAGGCAGAGATAGTTTTATGTGCCTGTTTTCAGTGGACAGGTGAGAATAGTCAGGTTGTTGGCCTTTTTCAGCTGTTTTTTTTTCTTCTTCCAAATAGTGTTAATGTAACTGTGTTGATTATTAAAGAATAATAAAAGAACATGTTCCAGTTAATTAGGTTAGTCAGTTAGGTTACTGTTATTGAAGTATAATGTAAGTATAAATACAAATGTTTCCTTTTAGACTGACCTGGACTCTGTGGTAAATGCAGAATATTGACAGGACATTTTTATTAGATGTTAAGACAACAAACACCAGTATATTAGATATATGACAAGTTCCAGTGTCATTATATAACATGGCTTGAAATTTTACATGAAATTATAGAAAGTGGATGCTTTGACAGTTGACATTAAAACAGTTTGTTTTTTTTACTTTGTCCCATGACAGTACAAAGCATTACTGTTCATGTGGATTGTGAGTGTAAGTAAACTGTGATTTCACAAGAGAGAGTCAACTTTTTTTTTTCATTCAACTTTATTTATACAGGTTAATCCCATTGAGTCTCAGGGACTCATTTACAAGTGGAACCTGATTTTAACAAAGAGTAATGACAACAGTGGACAACAAAGACAATAGACAATCATAAAGGATCCATACAAATTGAGATTAAAAAAAAAATTTATACCCTTTAAGTAGAAAATGCATGAGCTTATATCTGCACAGTGAGGTGCAGTTGGGAAAACTTTATGACTGCACATCCCCTGCACGTTTTTACAATTTTTTTTTACAAGCACAAAAAACATCCTGCAAACTACTCGTGTTGCTGCGAGCTCTCCTGTTTTGGCACACTGATATTTCCTTCAAACCCCTTGCAGACCTGGCAGCACAGCACTGGACTTCATTCTTCATCAAATCAAATGCTGCATTTTTGCAGTTAGTGAGTCTAAGCATGAACAAGTTAATAGCCATTTTAGGATAATTAACAGATCGCTTTTGATTGAGCTGTTTCCCAGCATCTAGCCATGCCAGGCAATCAAACTCCTCCAAAGAAGATCTGTGTGGGCAGCCTCTCAAACTTTATTTTTTTCCTGCACTCAATGTCCTCCACAGAGACTTGGGAGTTTATTTAATTAATTCCATGCTTCTAATATTGTCCCACTGTTTATTTTAAGTGATTTGAAGCCTGTTCATGTTGTACAAGTGTCAGTTTGGACTGTTTGGTTCCTCCTTTCAGTCCATCATGACCATATTCACACTTTAATTCACAAGACGAGACCTTTAATTACCAGAGAACTGCTACATCTGTACTTGTAATTATTTAAAAGCAGGTTTTCTGCTTGTCTTAGTTTAACGTTACATCTCGTCTGGGTCTCTTTCAGCAACTCTGGGTTCCCTTGAGTTCAGTCTTCACTATGAACAAGAAAGCAACAGCCTCCACTGTAGCATCATCAAAGCCAAGGTACCGCAGTTGTCCTCATTCTCACACACAAAGGCGTGAGCTCAGTCAAGTGGTTCATGTGGAAAAGCTCCTGAATGACTCTTTAGCTGAACTGCTCTCCACCATTTGTAATCTCATTAACGCAATTCTCTTTCTTCTTCTCAGGGACTGAAGCCCATGGACTCAAACGGGTTAGCAGATCCATATGTGAAGCTTCATCTGCTGCCAGGGGCTAGTAAGGTAAAAAAAAAAAAAAAAATCACACATGGTTTTGTATGATTTAAGCCTTAATGATCTTCAAAAAAAAAAAAGATTGGTCATTTTAGCCCAATTTGGTTTGCAGAAGAGTCATCTCTTGGATTGCTCACTCCTGACCCCCTGTGGTCATTGACAAAAATAACAGGAATTTGAATGAATATTTCTGAAAAGTATTCATTCTCCTTATCTATTTGCATCCAACAGTCCAACAAGTTGCGTACAAAGACCCTGAGAAACACTCGAAACCCCATGTGGAATGAGGCGCTCACCTATCACGGCCTAACAGAGGAGGACATGCAACGCAAGACCCTCAGGTGGGCAATTCACCGCGCAGTCACACTCCACCGCACCAACTCCGTTTGCTGTCTGTAGAGGCATTTATGACTATGATTAACTTTTGTCTTCAAATAATTTTCCACAGGCTCTCCGTCTGCGATGAAGACAAGTTTGGGCACAACGAGTTTATCGGGGAAACTCGGGTGGCACTGAAGAAGCTGAAGATGAACCAAAAGAAGAACTTCAACGTCTGCCTAGAGAGAGTCGTACCTGTGAGTGAGGCATTCAAAGAACCAAACGACCCTCGTTCTACTCGTCTCGGTCTCTTACTGACCCTGCTGTAATCTCGTTCCTCCTCGCAGACCAAGAGAACCGCGACAGCCGGAGGAGCCAGAGGGATAGCGCTCTACGAAGATGAGGCAATGGCTGTTTTCGAGCATGTCTAAACGTGACAGATTCCTCCAGAAGTTCATACAGACCTTACATTCCTGTACGAGTATTTTCTCTTTCTCTCCTTCTGCTCTGTTTTAGCCGGGGAAAGATGGCACGGAGGTAGAAGAGCGCGGCCGGATTCTGATCTCCCTCATGTACAACTCTCAACAGAGTCGTCTCATGGTGGGAGTCGTGCGCTGCGTTCATTTGGCTGCTATGGACGCTAACGGCTACTCCGACCCATATGTCAAAATGTAGGTAGAACTGATGGGGAAAAAAAACGTCATTCTACGCAATAAACAGCATGAATTACATGTTATGTACGTGTAATTTTACAGTTGTTTGAAACCTGATATGGGGAAGAAAGGCAAGTGCAAAACACAAATCAAGAAGAGGACCTTAAACCCAGAGTTCAACGAGGTTTGGAAAAAGAAAAGTTCATCAACGATTTATTCATCTGGTCATTTTGCTAAATCTAATTGTTGCAATCATTAAAACAAACAGTTACATAGAAAGTGTATAATGTCTGCATCAAATTGTAGGAGTTTGGTTTTGAAATCAAACACAGCGAACTGGCCAAGAAGACATTAGACGTCTCAGTGTGGGACTACGATATTGGGAAGTCTAACGATTACATTGGTAAATATCAGAACAGTGTCACTGTTTTTTATGCATAAAAAAAAAAAAAAGAAATTCTCACCTGCACGTCTCCCTCCCTCCTGACAGGTGGATGTCAGCTGGGCATCACTGCCAAAGGGGAGAGGCTGAAGCACTGGTACGAGTGTTTGAAGAACAAGGACAAGAGGATCGAGCGCTGGCACACCCTGCTGAACGAGAATCACGTTGTTAGTGATTAAGCACAGAGCACGAGCTCACATTTATCCTCCCCAGTTTATTTTTACTTCCTGCTTAAACGGATAACAGTTCTCTGAAGTGGGGTTCTGTGGATAAAATCTCTACAATTAATATGCACCGTGTTATAGATGGCTGCTTAAATGACCTCCGTTTGGGGTAAAAGGGTTTAATTTTGATTGGAGTAACAAACTAATGGCAAGTCCAAGCAGCGTTAAGACCAAAGTGGATTTCTGGTTACTTAAAATAACGTCATTCTCCAAAACATTTTATAGAGGATCATGCAAACCCTTGTACTAACTGTAGCACTTCCTGTTCAGCCTTTGCTAGCATTAATCGGTGCAGCCACTTTGAGAGCGTCAGCAGAGGAGTCGCTGCACGATGTGTCCTAGTAGATTTACCATAGCTTCCTGTAGTAGAAACGTGTTGCAGTAAAGCTGCGTGCTTTTACATCTTTTTCATATTTTCTTTGCAGAATTCTGAAGAACTCAGATGTGTAAATAATAGTAGTATCATGAAATGACTGTCTTTAGTGATGACTTTGAAACATTTGACCTATGTATAAGTTTCCAGTGATGATCACAATACCTATCATTTTTTTTTACAGTATTATTTCACACTTTAAATTAGGCATGAAAATACTTTGTATATAAATCAGTGTTTTTTTGTGTGTGAAAACAAGCCATATTAATTTAGGTTTCAAGATTGTTTTATTATCACAGCCCTCTGTTTGAAAACCTAATCTAATTATGAGTTGCCTAAAGGTTTCTACTACTTATGTAAATATTCATTAAATTGTGTTCACTTTGTTCTTGGCCCTGCTTGGACTAGTTGTTAGCCCATAAATCTGCTCAGAAATAAACTATTTTTCCAAACTAAGGGCCATCAAAAACTATCTACAACAGGTAAGATAATAATAGTGCATATATAGTATTTTCTGCAGAATCCCCCTTCAAACAATCTTAGCGGTTGCTTTAATATTTATTATTCATGACACAGGCACTGTTTGTTCTTACCCCTCATTCAAAACTTTTATTTATTTAAATAGAAGTCGTTTCTCTGCCTGTGCTGATACTTAATCATGAAAATGGTGAATTTGTATGTTAAATAACCTAAGCAAGACATATGTCATCAAACAGCTGCACAAAAGCCCTCATATGGATGAGCGATGGTATGTAAATGCAGAAAACGTGGCACATTCTTCATGAAAAATAAATGAATTACACTGGTAGAGATGAAGAAAAGCAATATGCTATGGCATCGAGGTCAGAACCATCATTCAAGCTCATGAGAGCGTTAGCTCCCCAAGTCCATTACTTGGACTTTCTTACAAACTGGTGTATTTAACATGTGAAACTATAAAAGCATGCCCGACCACACACGTATTAAAAAAAAAAACACACAGCTGCACCTTAAAATATTCAGCTGTATGAACATTTTGTATATTTCCACAAAGAAATGTTTACATACTTATACATTGCTCAGGTTAGGATAGACATCTGATATGACAGATGAGTCATGTGTGAGTGGACCATGAGCTAGATTACTTTTATCAGTTGTTAATTTATAAGATTATATATATATATGTATGTATATATATATATATATATATATACTAGTAT